CCTTTTAAACTCTTACTTTATACTTAACACCTGCTTTCTTGTCCTACTTTAAATATTCGCTGCTGCCGCCTTTCCTTAACCCCACACGGGCACCCACCCACCCCCTCTTTTTAAAAAACACCCCTTTTAAACTCTAACTCTACGTTTCCCTCTTACTTCTATACTCTACTCTAAACATCCGCTGCCGCCGCCTTTCCCTAATCCCACACGGGCACCCACCTACCCCCCCCTTTTAAAAACAAACTCTTTTAAACTCTTACTCTATACTTAACACTTGCTTTCTTATCCTACTTTAAATATTTGCTGCCGCCGCCTTCCCTTAACCCCACACGGGCACCCACCTACCCCCCCTTTAAAACTCTAATAACCCTAAACTTCCTATCTCCTAACCTGCTCTATAAATCTAACAAATCCCTAATATATTTGATTCGACTCTAATCCACCCTATTAAACCTTCCCGCCAAACTATTATAACACGCTCCCCTAATCCCCGTTGCTGCCTTCTTTCTACCCCCCCTTTTGCATCTCCTCCTCAACAAAATCTCTAAACTCCTCGGGATACTGCACCCACACTGCGTACACCGCTGCTGCTAATACTCCCTTATACTAACACTTCTTTCCCCTTTGCTTCTGCTATCCTCCCCGCATTATATCCTCTTCGTAACTTACGCAAACCCCCTATGGCAATCCGCACTCCCAACACCCTGAAAACAGTGCCCACAACATCTTCGCCCCCTTCCCTTGCGCCTTCTTTATCGGGTTTATCTTTTCTTAAAACATCTTAATTGCTACCCGAATATTCTCCGCTTCCGGCTTATCGCAATGCCAAATATCGTGCCCCTTACTCCTTTCCTCCTATGCCTAATATTGCTGGCAACCTACCTTCCACTACTCTATTAATTCAACTAATCTGTCCACCTCCAACGCTTCTGTTAACTGTGAACTTGCCTCTCTAATTGCTTATACCTTTTAAACCGACAACTGCTGCTTAAATTCCACTCTCTCTGCAACCGCCTCCTTTTCTATCCGGGGCGTTGCTAGTAGTACCCCTAACACGCTGTCTGCTGTAGTAACGCCCTATACATCGTCGTCGGGCTTATCAGCGTCCTTAATTGCAACTGTCGTGCTGGCGCGTATATCCCAATCAATCGAAACAATTTTATCTGTATCCCTGTTGGCAACTACTATATTAGTTATTACTTCGGCTTCTATAACTGCCTCCTCTTTATTAACCGCTACCCCTAAACGCGCTTAACATTGCTAACATTTTTATTCCCCCTTTTCGTATTCTACTCGCTCTTAGTTCCCATCTATTACACCGTTAATTATCTTTCTTATGCAACTCCTACCCATAATAAATCCCTGTATTTCCTTTTTAACGTCCTCCCCGAAATCCTGCTTATAAACAACGCCCCTTTTATCTGTTCGGAATCCGTGCATAATTATTGCTTTACTCTTCCGCCCATTACGCCCTGCCCTTCCGCTCTCCTGCGCGTAATACCGCATTTTTCGAATTGTTCCAACGTGCACTACCGCTCGAATTGTTGGTGCATTAATGCCCAACCCTAATGCGTTCGTGGCCGTAAACACCTGCTGTCGCCCTTCGGTTAACTGCTTCACTAACTCGCTCTTCTCCTTACTGCTTCCTATATTTCGGTGGAAATAAACACACTCTAAAACTTCTGCTAATTGAATTATCTTCTTCACCGTGTCGCAATACACAATTACCTGCCCCCCCGCGTGCTTCTGCTTTAAACTCTCTACTAACTTAACAACTGCGTCCTCTTCCTGTTGTATATTATATTGTTAAATACGGTACATAATATTTTTCCGCGTTGTTGGCCCCCGAAACCACTAGTATTCTTCCCTGGCTGGCAACCCTATTAATTAAATAAATTCCTCCTCTTCTTAGGGCTGGATTATTGCCGTTAAATACACCAACTGCGTTTTTATTATAACTAAATTCCTTAACGCTAACATCCTGCTCCTCCACCCGCCTACTAAATCCAAAATTACGTGGTATTTGTTAATTATAATCCGGTCCAACCGTCCTATTAACCGCTGTTGGTTAATAAAATTGCTAAATACCTCCCCAACCGCCAACTCCGGCGTGACCAACACGACCTGCGCCTATTCTTGCGGACTTTAACTGTTCTATTCAACGCAACTAATGCCGGCTTTGTTGCAACGGCTTTTTATATCCTCCTATAACAACACTAATAGTATAACTACTACTGTTACGCCTGTTAAACACGATGCTGGCAATATAAACAACACGCTCTTACCTCCACCTATGCCTATAATAGCAACTACCGGGCTCTTATAGTATATAATAGCCTTTAATGCTGGTCTCTGCACACCCCGAAATTCGGCCTTTTCGCCTACTAACACTTTTAACTGCTGCTCTATATCCACTAATCTTATTATCTTCCACCGTTAATATTCCTCCTTAATAGCCTCCTTTCTATTGGCTGCCGCGCGGGTTCCTTTTTTTGGCTTAGTCTGCATTGCGCACAGGAACTGCAAAAACCAATGCCACTCTGTGCTAACCCTCCGCAACTGTGCCCTCCTTGCCTTAGTGCTAAATATTAACTCTATAATCGACCGACTGTATATTCCCCCTCTAATCCTGGATCTATAGCCGGTTTAGATGTCGAATACTTTATCTTCGTTATCTAAATCGTCCTTGTCGCCCTGCACTACCGCCTTTACAACCGCCTTGGAATTAATATATCGACGGTATATAGCCTTAGTGCTGTGTCTCCATGCCATAATATTTAACTTAACCCCTATCCATCGCAATAATGCTCCTTGCAATGCCATCTTTAAACGGTTGGAATTCCATTTCTCGGGTGACGGGACTGTGTTCTTTCCCCCTTTATCCTCGGCGATGTTTTCAGTTTCTTCTATTGCTTCGCATTCTTCTTCTCCTTACTCTTTATCCTTCTCTTTATCCTCCTCTTTTTTATCCTCTTTATCTTCTGCGCTTGCTGTATTATTAATTTAAACCCGCCTCCGCTTCCTCTATAGCATTATCCAACCCTTTTCGGGCTCGGGCTCCTATATAAATGGACTGATCTCTGCTGGTTAACCGCCCTATGCACTTTCTAACCTCTGCCAAAATAGCAACACCAACTACAAATAATACACCACTAATTCGCCCACCGCGCGTGGCAAATATCGGTGGATAACCTTGGCCTTTCCACTAACTCCTATGCCTTTATAGTATGCTGTTATATATACTACTAACCCGTCCTTAATAAAAATCCCTCTACTGTTGCTATTCGGGCTGTTTCGATGCTGCACTATTATTAACTCTGTTCCACGCGCTGGTAACCCACCCGTTATGTGCACCAACACTGCTAAATGCTGCCGGAATACTCGCATCGCTCGTGCATACTTCTTAATCTCCTTCCCCTTCCATGCTAACCCTTGCTTGCCTTTTGCTGCTATAGCGGCTGCTGGGTCGCTGGCTCTAATATTAATAAACCTCTCCCTAATCTTCTGCTCCTGGCTGACCCAATTACTTAACCACCTCTTTCCATGCACGCCCCTAAATCCCAACTCTTGATTTCGCAGGTCCTCGATAAAACTCCATCCCGACTGTCGCTCGGCTGGGTTATCTACTAAATGCGCCCAATTAATAGCTGGCAATGCAACGGCTTCCTGTCCACTTAACGGCCCCTGCACAACTTAATCGACCTCTTCTAACAATAACAAATCCCGGTGCAACTCGACCCGGGCTGTCTCCACTAACCCGTGGACTATTAAACGCAACTGGGGCATGCTGAATTGAATATTACTATACAATAATATATCGTCTATCCACTTAATTACGCCCTCGGTATTAGTGGTGTACCGGATCTTTATCCTATACGCCTTTAACCGCTGCAACTAATCCACAGGGTGCAGTATTCCGCTATATTGAACCAATATTATAAACCGGTCTGCCATCTCTTACACAAATTTAAAATGCGCCGGCGCCATTTCCTTGGCGTCTTTCTGGCTGAAATGCTCCTTCTGTTATATATCCGCCGCGCGCTCTTTACACATCTTTATGGCCTGATATAAAACCAATATGCGGGATATATTAATAATAGCTGCAATCTTAGGCGTGTATATTAACGCGCTTTCCCAACCGCATCGCTGGCTAATGCCTAAAACGGCCATGCCGCTAATTAATGCGCTGGTGTACTTGTTGTCCGTGAACGGGTGGTCTAACAACGCTAATATAAATGCTAAAACAGCCTTCTTTAACCTTTCTTGCTCCTCCTCGTTAATTACATAACTGTTGTTGCTATCACTGCTATTATTGCTAATGTCACTATTATCGCTATCCTCCTCTTTATCCTGCCCTACTATTATCTCGATCTTTGCCAACGCTAACCCCTGTTTGCCTGTTAACCTAAATACTGGCCTCTGGTTCTAGATATTGCCCTCGCTCTCCAACTTTTCTGTCTCCTTGCTGCAAATCGGCTCTATTCTGCGGGTTCTCTAAATATAACGGACAATAGCCAACTAACACGCGCTGTATTTAACTATTGTCTTGCCCGTCTGGCGTGCGCTAAACGGCTTCTCGTTTGTTTTGTTGCCGGTTTCACGTTGATTAATATAATTCATAGCTGCCAATCCAACCACGCTAGCTTTAGATGCTTGCTGCGCCTTCTAAATTACCATCTTAACTGCAAAACACAAATTGGCCAACGCTCCCTCTCTCTTCTTGGGCTTGCGCATTAATAACTCCAACTACTTGCTATCTAATCTCTTTAAATGCTTTGCCTATCCGGCGCGGTTCAACCATATATTAACCTTGAATCGGTTGTTGTCGGCCTGGATCTAACTGCTCGCTTCCTTGTTAGCTCTCTTAATATTAATTGTTGCCTGTGTAAATGCGGCCTCTAATGCCTCCTGGATAGGATCCTTCTATTCTTCTCTCTTGGCGGCTGGGTTGTGCGCGTTTACCTAGAATAATCGGGCCAACGACGCCTTGCTGCTAAATTTCTGGCAATACACGCCAACTTCCTATATTTTCGCCCGCTGCACAATGCTCTGCTGCCTTTAGTAATAACATCCTCGCTTTCGTAGATTCTCCTACCTATGCTCCTTCTTATAATAGGTCTGTATATTCTGCAAACCGCGCACTATAGCTCCACACGGCTGGTCGTTTTCATGGGTTCCTAAACATTTCAATCCGTTATGCTAAATAGGTAAATGCGGCACGGGTTTAGCGGTGGGTGCTGGGAAAACAACCTGCCTGTTGTTCTGGGCCCAATCTTCTATATCTGCTACGGCCTCTTATATGGATTTTCGTGTTGCTGATGTTAATTCCTGGTGGTGCTTAGTTAAATGCATTTGTAACTGCGTCTTGGTAATGCCGTGGCTACAAACTCGGCAAACTACAATGCGGTACTGCGGGATATGCTCGAAAATTCGGGTGAATTATTCTATGGCGTTTAATACGATTGCTACAATAATTGCTATAACGGATTCACGGTTTAATATAATAATAGGATGATGGAATATTGGATAATAGATAATTAATAAACGTGTTAATCGCCGTGTTAATAGCGGCCGGACGTGCTTTTAACTACTCTCACCGCTACTTAGACCCTTCCCAACGCCTCCTGCTCTTAGCCACCTGGATTATTACACCCGTCACTTAACTATGCATCTGGGGGATCCATCTACAACCTTGCGTGCCTGGGTGCAACTAGTGGCATAGTAGGTCCTAATTTCCGGGTACCTAGGGCTTGCAAATAGCTTGCAACGACTATATCTATTACGAACTTTAGGTACTTAACTACCCTCCTACGTTCGCGCCTTAACTGCGATCGCTGCGCACGGCCACGAACATTATTATAACCCTAACTACCCCAACGCGACGACGACAATATAATCCAACGGTCGCATCGTTAATCCGAATAGTGCATTTAATGCGCAATGGTCGATAACTTGCCTGCAGCGTTGGAACCAGCAAATTCGGTTGGGGTTTACCACAGTATAATTTGATTTTCGTTTCTAAATCATATTATTGCAGCGCACAGTTTAGTTTTAAATCATAATGTGGCATATGCCACGATATGTTTTACCCATAGGTTAATAGCTTGCCTAACTACTGCATCTGCTTCCGGAATATATATTAACGGTTTAAAACAATATAATACTTATTAATAACAATCCGATCTAGCTGCCGTGTTGCCCTTAATCGATTTAAAAACGTTATAAATCCCTTACTAACGGCGGATTCCGGCGTTACTAATACAATAGCTGCCGTATTTAGAAGGTGCTGTTCTTCCTATTCCTTATATAAAATACCCAGCTTCTTGCATCGCCGCTTTATATCCCCTTATAATGCAATTAACAGCACTACAACTACTATTATTCTACTCTGCTCTGCCCACGCTGGCAATATAAATAATAAGCTCTTTCCTATACTAGTTAGTATTACTGCTACTACTAGGCTCTCGCCTGCTATAATTATCGCGATTGCGTCCTTCTACACGCCTTGGAACACCGCCTCTATACCTATTATCCGCTTTAACTGTACTGCTATATCTATCTTCCTTAACCGCGCCTATTAATCTTTTTAACTTTTATCTGCTTTGCTTTTAAACGGAGCCCGCTTCCGCTTTTTTAATATAAACTTGTTATTAACGGCCGACTAATATCCTAAAAACTAATGCTAATCTATGCTTAATACCCGGAACTGCTACCTTTTATTAGCTACTGCTCCTGCCTGCTCTATAATTGCTCGCGTATATACTAACCCGGCAACGTGCAATATATACCCGGCC